AGGGAGGGGAAGGAGAAAAGGAAAGAGAAGGAGAGAAAAAAAGAAAAGGAAAGAAAAAAAGAAAGGAAAAAAAATTTTTATTTATTAAATTATATTTTTGTGCCAAATCACAATAATTTTATAATTAAAAATGCCACATCACTCATTTTATTTTCAAGTAATATTTAATATTAATAAAAATTAAATTTGTTAACCGAAAATTTTACCACGTCAGCAATTAACTGACAGAAGGACAAAATCAGTCCCAAAAATTGAAGTTTAAGGATTTTTTTAGTACTTTTTGAAGTTTGAGGGTAGTTTTAATCCAAAAATAAAAGTTGAGGGACTGAATCGGAGATATAACCATTTTAAATTCAAACTTTTATACAGTATAAAAGGTTCAAAAGAGATTTAGAAAATAAAAAATAATTATTTCCTTTTGTATTGAAGGGAAAGATGAAGAAGAAGATAATTGAAGAAGCCAAAAAGATAAATACAATTACCGTCCTCGCAAGAATGGATCGATATGAAAAAAGAGAAACTGTGCTTGACCTAATCCGATGCTAAACGGCGACATTCTGCCCTCGAGCACCAGTCGGCGCTTCGGGAGCACAGATCTGACGCCCAGGGCACCGTACGAGGGCAAAAAAAACCGTCGAGAATGCTCTATCCAAATATCTTGGCCAGCGGGGACGGATCGTCACTCTGAGAGACCCTCCATGTGACCAACGCGTCGCCCGGTGCGGCTCAGCCCTTCCACCAGACGGCGATCGGACGCCCACGGCACTGAACGAGGGCTAAAAAGAATCAAGAATGCTGTATCCAAATTTCTTGGCCAACGAGGTCGGACTGGCACTCTAAGACAAGATAACAAACCTGGCCTGAATGTTATTTTCTTTCTTTGTCTTTTGTAGGTAATAATGGGCTTCTGTAAATTCAATAAACTTAGGGCCGAAAATAATAGGACCCAAAGTGTTTGCTTGACCCATAACTCATAATGTGACGGGCCTAGATCTATTTACCAACTATGGTAGATACTATATGGGCTTTGAGACCATTTCTAGCTTTTTTTGGGCCAGCGAGACCATTTCAGCACGATAAAGCATTATTGAATTAGTTCTATTTTTGAAGGCCAACAAAAATTAGTTCTATTATTTTCTTCTTTGTTGTAAAAGAGTGAAGTTGAGTTGATCTTTCTTTTTTA